CCAGCAGGATCACACCCTTCCAAGACTTTTCTGGTCGCTCTTTCATCTTATGGTAGCCTTGAGGAGTCAAGCTGGTGGTTTTGAATATTTTCAATCAACAATTTAAACACTGAAAGCAATGCTGCAACAGAGCGATGACAGAAAGAGTAAAGGGAATGGTAGAACATGAGGGCCAGGGGTTGAGTGGAAGGTGAAGAAGGCGCCAGGCTTCAGTGACCGTGACACAGGATGGCAGCCAGCACAGGCTTGGACAATTTACGAAAACCGAACAGACAGCCTTAAGACAGAATGTGGATCTAAATGCTCAGAATCACTCCCCTTTGTAAGATTTGTAAAAAAAAAATTAATATGAATGGAGTAGTAGTTCTAATGAGGTGGTCACCCAAGAGCCTCATCAGTGCCAGGAAAATGGCAGAATTCACACAGCATCAAAGTTGTCCTATGAGACTTTTGGTGCCTAACAATGTCTAAAGAAAATATGAAACTCCCTCAGCCACTGAAGGACGGTATTATAGCAATTAATAAAAAAGAGCCATTGGCTGTCACTACCTTCTCCCTCATCTGACTTACACAGTCTTCATTTTTCTATAGAAACCAGGTTTCTAGATCTATCTTGCAGACCTCAGAGTACTGGAGGTTCCCATTCTAAGGCAATGTATCCTAAGATACTGTAAATGGTAGTAATTTTTTTGTCCATTTGAAATACATGTTCTTTTTAAAAATTTTAAAATTTTCTTAAAAGAGCAGGAATGGAGCACAAAGCAGTGTCAGAATGATTATGTAGTTGGAGAGCAACTGTTGGGCTCAGCTATGGCCACCACTGGGGCTCCAATGTGTCTTTGTCCCCCAGAGAGCTCTTTATGAGGGGGTCTGGAGGTCCTCTACTCTTGTGGCCGTCTTCCCACCCTCTATGGATTCCAGTGGCCAGCTTCATAATAAATGATCAAATGGCAAGTCAGGAAACACATTTTAGGGGAACAAAATGCCATAGAAATGTGTAGAACAGTCCAAACTGGGGGCTACTTTGGCACAACACCCCTGCCCATGGTTAGTTGATCCAAGGTCAAGATATCTGATCCAGGTTGGGCCAATCAGATTCTCTCTCTACAAGGACAGTGCCAGAGCATGAAGGGTCCAGAGCTCCTGCCACTGTGTCCTACACACCCCACCCCTCACTCCTTTTCACAGATATAAGATAGACAATTTACCCGTTTCACATATGCTGCATTCTGTCTTTCGAGCATTTCTGTCCATCAAGTGCAATTTACACACTTTCACAAACCAACTTCAGTTTAGAAGAATTAAAGCTCGTGTGATTATGATTTTTACAGTATCACTGATTGTCAGAGAGTAGCACAGACAAAACTGCTTTTTTTTAAACAAAAGAAACCTTTTATTTTAGATTTACAGAAAATCTGCAGATAGTACAGTGAATTTCCATATAGCCTTCACCCAGTTTCCCCAATTATCAACATCTTAATGTTAAGAGCTCCATTCTCATGACCCAGCTACTTCCCAAAGGCCCCTCCTCCTAAACCCGTTGGAGTCAGAATATGAATTTTGGGGGATGGGAACATTTAGTCTATCGTGGCATATCTGGCCCTCAAATCAGAGTTTGTATGCTATTCTTGGATGTTAAACATGTTTATTGAGCACCTACTGTATATGTTGCACAGTTCTGAGAGTTAGAGAAACAGAACACGACAGATAAAGTCCCTCTTGAAGCCCTCAGTCCAGTGCAAGAGATGGACAATAGGTCCAATAGGAAAGGACACAAACAGGGTTATAGGGACAGTGGGCCACGAGGGGTGGAAGTGAGGTTACTTTAGATAGAGCAGGTGGGCCTCAAGTTGAGGCCGGAAAGATCTTAGCCAGGTGACACCCCGAAGCAAGAGTCCAGGCAGAAAGAACGGCATGCTCAGGAGAGAGACGAGGCTGTGGGTTTGAGAACAAGGACGTATGTGGAATGTGAAGGTCTGAGAGGAAGGCAGGGGCACATCAGGTAGAGCTTTGAGGTCAGAATAAAAAGGGTGTATTTTTTCTTAAGGGATTTTGGAAGCCATGGACAGGTTGAACGCAGGAGTGACATGATCCCATTTGTCGTGAAAATGTTGGGTCCCCAATGTTGGGTCCATGGTCAAAGGAGCAAGACTGATACAAAGTGAAGGTCCAGCAAAGCTTTGTTTCGCGCCAAGCATCAAGAATCAAACCGACCGTCGAACAGACCGGTCAGGGCCGCCCCTTACAAAGAGGATGACCCCTCCCTGCCTCACAGACTAACTTTTATAGAACAAAGGCCCTGTGGTTGGGCCTGGCCACACACAGGTGGCCAATGAGATTGCGATACACAGAGAAAGCTGCACAGCCATGCTAGGTCACACACGGGTGGCCAATTGACAATTCACCCCATAGTAGACATTTGCACTAGCCTATCACCTTGGTGAGAATTGCCCCCTCCAAAAGGCGGGGCCCACACTCCTTGGTAGCTAGGGAGACAGTATGCGCGCTTTACTGATTGGATGTCTCCACCTGACCCGACTCATCCCTCCCTTCGGGCTGTTATCTCCACCTGACCTGACCCACCCTTGTATTTGGGCTTTGTTACCTGGGACTGCTTTCCCCGACTTGCTTTTAAATAAGTTCCCCTGGGAGGAGGGCAGGGTCAATTTAAGTTTTACTGCATAAACAACAAAATGGGTGTTCAACGAAGGTGGGGCCACTCTGGCTAAAGAGGCCCTTATAAAAACACCACCTGTCTCTGTCCTGGACAGTACAGATCAGGGAGGAGTGCAGAGGCAGGGGGACCCCCTACAGGGCTACCCTGGCCATCCATGATGGAGGCTTGGACTGGGGGTGGCCAAGGAGATGGAGATGATGACTGAAGAGCTTTGGAGAGGTTTTGAACATGGGGTCAGCAACCTGCCGATGGATTAGAAGTGGAGGACTGGGGGAGAAAAGAATCCGGGACAACCACTAGCTTTGGGTCTATGCAGCTGGTGGAAGACGGGTCCACTTCCTGAAATAAAGACCATGGGGGGAGGGACATTTGCAGAAAACAGTCAAGTTTTCTGTTTGACTGTCTGGGTACTGAGATGTCTGGAGAATAGCCAAATGGAGATGTCCAGTGTGCAGCCAGATGCAGGGTCTTGAGGGAGAAAGTTGGGTCCTCTCACCCAGGGAGAGAGCAGGGAGACAGAAGGGGTTTAGAAGAGAGCCTCAGGGCAGGTCAGGACTGTAGGGTGGGAGACAGGGAAGGTGTGGCAACAAAGAGGCTGACCGTGGAGAGGAAGGAGGCCATCTTGCCAGAGAACAAAGCTCTGGGTCCATATGTATGTCCTTTCCTAGGAGCTACTAATCCAGAAGGGAGGCACCAACTATTTAAAGTAAATGCAGAGTTAACATGGGGATGAAGAGTCAATGCCTTTGGGGCACCTGGGTAGCTCAGTTGGTTAGGCGTCTGCCTTCAGCTCGGGTCATAATCCCAGGGTTCTGGGATCAAACCCCACATCAGGCTCCCTGCTCAGTGGAGAGCCTGCTTCTCCGCCTCCCTCTGCCTGCCACTCTGCCTACTTGTGCTCTCACACTGCCAAATAAATAAATGAAATTAAAAAAAAAAAAAAAAGAGTCAATGCCTTCTAAGCAGGGTATGATTTCCAGGGAGGGGTCTTCACATGGTGTTTGCTCATACATACATGCATAGATGGACATTGAACATTTTCATCATAAGTTTATATGGTTACAAAAGACCCAGTTTTCTGTCTAGTGCATCAACATTTTAAGATGATACTTTGCTCTTCTAGCATACCCAATGGAATCTAAGCCCACAGCAATTTTACTCATTGTTCAGGTCTCAACTGAGATAGGGAGGAGAGCCTTCCCCAACCCGCAGACTGAGTAAGGTGCCTCCTCTGGGCGACCCACGTAACACCACGGACCGCACTGAGGGCAACCCACCTGCCGCCCGTCTGTCTCCCTCGCCCCAGACCGAGAGCTCTGCGAGGCCTGGGCCTCTGCCCGGCTCCCGCTGTATCCCCAGCATGTGGCACCGAATCTGACACTGAGCCAGTGTTCATGAAACATCTGTCCAGCGGCTGGCTGGTGGGTAAACTCAACCCCTTTCAGGAAAGCCTGGGCCAAGATCCCCTGGACCAGTCTCCTCACTGAACCCAACAGCCAGGGTGGTCTCTGTTCTGCCCCCGCCGCTCCCCGTGTGCAATCTTCCGTGGCTCCCCATGGCCTCCGGCACAGAGCGCGGACTCCCTACGGCGCCTGCAGGGTTTCCCTTTCCAGCCTCCCCTAGCGCCGCGTCCTCGTTCTCGCCGGCCTCCAGCGTGGGAAATACCCCCCCAAACCGCACTGTCTGTTCTCTGGGCAAGCGTTCCACTCCTCCCTTCTTGCTCGAGAAGCTCCTCGAGTTCTCAGCTTAGACGGAGGCCGTCCCTGCTCCCCGGGCCCCGGGCTGCTCCCACCGCTCAGCGCGGGGCCCTTGCCCACCGTCTGCCTGGGGGCCGCGCACGGCCAGGACCGACTCCCGCTGCTTCCCTGCGGTCCTCCCAGCACCCGCCGAAGGGCCGGCCTCGCAGCCTGCGCAAGGCCACGACGGGCTGCGGCTCTGACCGTGCGCCGGAGCCCAGCACTCCTCGAGCCTTCCCCGGGTGGGCCCGCAGAGCGCAGACCGGCTGTCTCAGGAAGGCAGGCAGGTGGGCAGACATGGGAAGGCTCCCTGCAGCTCCAGGGGGAGGGATGACAAAGCCAAGTGTGGGGGCTCGGAAAACGTCTAGGACACAGAACGGTGAGAAGCAGCCATGGGCTTCGCGAAAGCCGAAGCACCGGACAGCTCTGGCGCCCCGCACAAAGATGGCGGCACAAAAGCCCCGCCTCCGCCAATATGGTCGTCCCGGGGTAGGAGGAGGGGTAAGGGTCCTGCGGGGCGGAAGTGACGCAGCCGGAAGTCCGGTCTGGCTGTTGGCTGGCGGGCAGTACGGCGCGGAGGCTGGCGGGCTATGAGTGGGGCGATGTGGCGGGCTGCTAGCCTAGGACGTGGGGTGACCCTGGGGCTGCTGCTGACGGTCCACGCGGTGGCGGCGGTCGAGCCCATCACCGTGGGCATCGCCATCGGGGCCGCGTCGGCGCTCACCGGCTACCTGTCCTACAAGGACCTTTACTGCCGCTTCGCCGAGTGCTGCCGCGAGGAGCAGCGGCTCAACGCGTCGGGTAGGGCGGGTCTGCCCGCGAGGGGCGAGGCGCTTACCCTGAGCTGGGGCGGGGGCGGGGGGCACCGACGGGGTCTCGGTCCGAAATCCAGCCCTGGAAGCCCTGCTCTCTGAGGCCCACGCTCCAGATCGTGGAGCTCTACCTAAGCTCCTTCTTAAACGCCCCGGATTCCCTGCGAGTACAGTAAGAAGAAGCGAAAGGCCCGCGCCCAGCGCTTTGCACCATGTCAGTCCTATGAAGTAGCTTTCATACGTGCGGCGGCTACCCTGAAAGCCCACACTCGGCTCTTGGTTTTCTTACAAGCCAGCAGGGGCGGCTGGGGCATACCCTGTAGCTCAGTCAAGAGGAGGCTAATCCTTGGATGAACGAACACGTTAGCTTCCTTATCAGACACCGGAGTATTGAGGACATCGGTCTAATGCATAGCCTTGGAAGTGGCATCGTGTGACTTTCAACCCGAGGTTCTGCCTCCGGGCCAGCCCTGGGGTTTGGCAGACACCCTGCTGGACCGCTTGCTAATACGTGCCTCTCGCTTTGGCCAGCTGGGGAAAGTGCTGCTTTTCTGGTGTCTGTCTAATGTCTATTTTTCTCTCTGTTCTCTGGCTGGCTCCTGCAGCCCTCAAGCTGGAATTAGAGGAGAAGCTGTTTGGGCAGCATCTGGCCACAGAGGTGATTCTCAAGGCGCTGACGGGCTTCAAGAACAACAAAAATCCCAAGAAACCGCTGACTCTTTCCTTACATGGCTGGGCCGGCACGGGCAAGAATTTTGTCAGCCAAATTGTGGCAGAAAATCTTCACTCCAAAGGCCTGAAGAGTAACTTTGTCCACCTGTTTGTCTCCACGCTGCACTTTCCTCACGAGCAGCAGATAAAACTATACCAGGCAAGAGAATCCCTTTATCTCACCCACTGGCCACTCAGACTGGTCTGGGCGACCTGCCTACTCTGGCCTCTGCTGCTTCCCTTTGCACTGCAGTAGCCCTGGGCCCCCACTGAGTTAAGGCACGCTTGTCCCCAGTAGCGCTTTGCTGTTGCAGAGCTCTCCTATAACGTTTTTCCCATTTGATTCCAAAATGATACAGTGGAGCAGGAAACGTTACTTCCATTAAAAGAGCCATGAGGGGATTGGCGCCTTACAATCTCTCTGTCCTTGTGGCAAGTCAGAAACTTGGGCCCAAATCTACAGATTCGAGGTTTCTGGGGCAGCCACGTTCTGCAATGAATGAGCGTTAGGTGTTTCCGTCCCAGCCCCTGGTGAAGCAGAGCGCTCTTAAATGATTGGTTCTGATGTGGTTTCATCGAGGTCTCCCACCAATGGCGCAGCATCTGCAGTTAGCACGTGGCAGTTAGGGCTGTAGACCAGAGGATCCCGCCCCCACCCAGTCGCTTTTATTTTCTTTCTTTACATTCAAATCCTTGGCATTGCTTTCATTCTTCAAATGCAAGCCTCAAAGAACTGACTCTTAAGCCCGTTCCTCCTTTGGAGATACTCTGTCTACATTTAATTTATATTAAGTTGTCTAGGGTCGTCCTTGTAAAGGTTAATAGTCCTGCTGTTGGGGGAGGACCTGAATGAGAAACAGAAACTGAACTGAAAGGGAAGTGAAAGTGGCTCTTTGCCGCACAGACTGAGCCCGAAGATTGCTGAAAAGAAGGAATACTTCTTGTTTTTCCAAATCCTTTCATAAACCTCTAGAAATACAGTAATTAGATGAGGGGGCCTCTAGAGCCTTTCACGTTTTGGGGTAGAGGACTTGTTGCTTGGGTGTCTTTGTCTTGGGAAAGCATAGGGCAAAATGCTTTCCATGAAGTACCAGCTCTTTTGTTCACTGCATCAGTCCAGGCGCTGGTTTGGGGCACTGTGCAAGCCTGTTTCAGTTTCCAGTTGCTTATCCGTCTGTCTGCTAAAATTAACGTGAGCTCTCAGGCCAGGGTAAGCTGACATGATGGGCTGCTTAACTGTGACTGATGAATATTCATGTTTCTTGCTCCTCGTATTCCTTTAAAAAGGCACGCTCCGCACGTTACTTGAGTTAGGTGCTAAAGTGCGAAGAGGTGTTTTTCCTGTCAGCTTCCGCTTTTTACAGATAAAGTTACGGAAAAGCTGTTACCCAGTGCATGGAGGTTAGGATGCAGTTTCTGCGAGCTCTTCGTGAAGGCCCAGAGAGCCCCGATTTGCCATCTTGCGGAGTCGGGGAACTGTGCTGTGCTTCTCCTCCCCTCAGCACCTCCTTTGAGCCTCTGTACCCTCTTTCTTTTATGGTTGGTCTAGGACCAGTTACAAGGATGGATTCGGGGTAACGTGAGTGCGTGTGCGAGCTCCGTGTTCATATTTGACGAGATGGACAAATTGCACCCAGGGGTCATCGACGCAATCAAACCGTTTCTAGACTACTACGAGCAGGTCGATGGCGTGTCTTACCGGAAGGCCATCTTCATCTTTCTCAGGTCAGCGTGAGGTGGTTTCTTGGGCACACGAGGCCCTCATTCTCCCGATGCTAGAAGGAGGTCCTGGCAACCGTCAGCATCCTGTTGCCCAGGGACAGAGGTGCCTGGCGAAAGGAAATTGTTGATTTCTTTTACTTCGCGGTTGCTACCATCGGCGTGGCAAGGAGCGGGAGGGCCTGAGAAAATGAATTAGATATTGCTGGTAACTGGCAGTTTCGTTACCTGCCCGTGCCTCCGAGGCTTGTCAGAAGTCAGCGTTGTGCGGCAAGTTCTCGAAAAGCAGACTTCAAGCTCCGTGAAGACAGGCGCTCATTGTGTCCTTGTCCAGGAGCACTTAGTAAATCCTCCTCCCGGTGAGAAGAAACCGCAGAGCAGGTATGATTCTTGATTGGACACAGAATCTTACCATGTAATTTTTATTCTGCTTCTTTGGCAAATTCAGCAATGCCGGTGGGGACCTCATAACTAAGATTGCCCTTGACTTTTGGCGGGCGGGAAGAAAGAGGGAAGACATTCAGCTGAAGGACTTGGAACCCGTGCTGTCTGTCGGAGTCTTCAACAATAAACACAGTGAGTCTCCCAGGCCGAGGATCCCCCGACCCTGACAGCGGAGCCCCCTCCTCCTTTACACCTTCTACAAAGCCTCTGAATCCTTGTGCCTCTCTGGCTTCGCTGAAGTAGGGACGTCCCATAACAGAAGCAAGGTAGTGAGAGTAACCTTTTTTTTTTTTTTAAATTAAAGATTTTATTTATTTATTTGACAGAGATCACAAGTAGGCAGGGAGGCAGGCAGGGGTAGGGGGAAGCAGGCCCCTGCTGAGCAGAGAGCCCGATGTGGGGCCCGATCCCAGGACCTTGAGATCATGACTTGAGTCCAAGGCAGAGGCTTAACCCACTGAGTCACCCAGGCACCCCTAGTGGGGGTAACCTTAACAGACTTGTTGCACGCTTGATAAAAAAAGAATCTCGAGGGGGTAGAGACAGGAAGAACGTACTGTGGGCTGGGATCAGAATGGGCGCTATAAGAGCAGTGAGCTTGGCCAGGTGACAGGGACAGTGATGGGAAGACCCAGCTGTGTCTTGCTTTGCAGGTGGCCTGTGGCACAGCGGACTGATAGACCGGAACCTCATCGATTACTTTATCCCCTTCCTCCCTCTGGAGTACAGACACGTGAAGATGTGTATACGGGCGGAGATGAGGGCCCGTGGCTCTGTCATAGATGAGGACATTGTCACTAGAGTGGCAGAGGAAATGACTTTTTTCCCCAAAAGCGAGAAAATCTACTCAGACAAGGGCTGCAAGACCGTGCAGTCACGGTTGGATTTTCACTGACCTCTGACTCAAGCGGGGTAAGAGGCCGCTAGGAGCTCAGCAAGTGAGGGTCTTGCCTTCCGGAAGCACTTTGAAGCCCTCTGTGGGGTTTGCACTTTGCACCTGTGGATTTTCGGGACGTGGACGTTTCTGAGAGTTGAGTTTTGAACAGACACTAATCTATTGAGCGTACTTGTCATCTTGGACTGGACAGCCATCCGTCTGTGAACTGTGGTGGACGATGAACTTCTAAAATCCTGCCCCTCCCCCCTTGCTGACCTTGACAGAAGTGCCTTGCAAACAGCTGTGTGAGATCTGGGACCCACTCTGACCCCACAGCACCCACACCTCAGAAGCTGCAGCTCTAACTCAGGGAGTGCAAGGGCCCTGTGGCAACCTGGGGAGCTTTCGGTTTGCGCCTGCTGAAAACCTCCAAGAGTGTTCACTGGCTTTTCACTTGAAATCAGTGGCACCTTCAGGCACAGGCAGTGTCCCAGGAGATGCGGGCCTGCACACTAGGAGCATCCTCGACCAGGCGACCTCGCTGCCTGTGGCGTGGGGTCTCCAGCCGAGGCTTCTGCAGCAGCCCAGGACCGGCTGGGCTGGAATTCCTTTGCCTTCTCTCACTTGGTGTTGATCTCAGTCTTCCTGGTACCACTTCTGCACCTGAACTTCAGTCGCTGCTAGATTTGCCCCCAGTCGCATGTCATCACGAGAGTCAAATCAGAATGAGGCCCTCGGTTTTGCATTTGAGTCCTCTGTTCCCGCGGCGAGATGTCGGTTACAGTTTATGCGTGGGTCGATCCCTCACTTTACTCCAGAGAATCATCTGAAATCCACAGGACAAGCTCGGTCTCCGTGGATGCTACGTGCCAGAGCCGTCCGCCGGCGGGTTCTGCGTTGCCAAAGAAGTGTAGGCACTGGACACCAGAAATGCTAGAATTCTCAAGGATATGTAGGTTTTTTATGATGTTTTTACTTGTGAATCTTGTATAACAGAAAAATATAGGACGTGGCTTATTTTAAAATATGGGAAGGATACCAAAAAATGGAGTCACTGCCTATCCTTTTCTCAGAAACTCTTTACAAAAACTGCATTTTTATCCTTCAGTGCGTGGCAATAGCTGGTCGCAGTTGGAGGTCAGACGAAGACCAGACGCAGCGGGTCCCGGGTGTCCCCTGAGGACGAGCGCCCTCTCTGGCTGGACCCTGCTGGCCACGGGGAAGACGATTCCAGCCTGTGTGAATTGGGGGGTGTGTGTGTGTGTGTGTGAGTGAGTCAGTGTCACAGCCGTGACGTGACCGGAGACCCTTGAGAAGAACAGTGTGCGGTGTGTTTACATGTGAGATGCGGAAGGAACATCTTCATGACACAGGAGTGCCTTACAGAGGGTCACCTTTAGTCTTTTAAAAATGCCAAGTTAAGGGACGCCTGGGTGGCTCAGTCAGTTAAGCGTCTCTGCCTTTGGCTCAGGTCATGATCCCAGGGCCCTGGGATCGAGCCCCCTCGGGCTCCCTGCTCAGCGGGGAGCCTGCATTTCCATTTCCCTCGGCCTGCTGCTTCCCCTTCTTGTGTGCTCGCTCGCTCTCAGATTTAAAAACAAAAAAAAAGCCCAGTTAAGGCTTAAAATTTTTTGTACCTGTTCTTGCACTGAAGCCGAGTTCCAGCTCTTTCCTAACCCCTCAAGTGTCTGGTCAGGGAGAGACAAGCTTTTCCCGGTTCACGGTGATGCAGTTCACTCACCACGTGTGAGCCACCTTTGGACTTGTACCCGGAAGAGGCCACTACTGGGCACATCCTCCTGTGTGAGAGGTAGACAGGAACTTGAACTGACCTACTGAAAATGAAATAAAGCCTACATTTTATCCTGTGACGCGTCACTTAACTTTTTGTTTTCCCTAGTTTATTCGGTAACTCTGAACAGTTTGAGCTTGGGAGAAAGGCTGTCCAGCAGCTCGGGGTGTCAGGCACACCACACCCCAGACCAGCTGGCGGGGAGTCTGCGTCACTTGGCCAGTATTTACCTTCAGGGCTGGTCCCCCCAACCCACACGCACAGTAACACTGGAATGGGTGATGGGTTCTGTGCCACAGTTTCACGGATGAAAACTCCAGGGAGAGCTGGGCTTCTTTCTAGCAAGTGTTTGCTCCTGAAGTTGACATAGGAAGGGAACTGAGGCAGTGGGAAAATAGGGCTTCCTGCTGACCTTCTGCACCCGAGCAAGGCCGGGCTCTGAGCTGGAAGCCCGCACCGTCCGGTGAGGTCCTCGCTCAAGCGCAGTCCACAGGGCTTCTCTGTCGGCGGATCGTTAACACCAACCCCCTTTCAGGACTGAGGACAAGCCAGCTACTTTCTAGAAAGTTCAAACCCAGCATCCCACCCGCTCCCACCATTTCTTAACTGAAGGTGCTCAAGTCCCAAGACAGAACTTTCCAGGTCTGTTCCCAGCCTCCTGCAGTTTCCGCTCCGCCCTCATCTACAAAGACTGAACTTGCCAGATGGAAGTCAGGGGACTCCCATGTTCCCTATGGAGGGGCGCCCAGGTGCTGGGGCTGACATCTGAAAGTCATTAGCCCAATCTGTGACCCCTGGCGACAGGACGACAGGTCAGCTTCTGCTCCACATCAAGAACCTTCCAACATGGGGCACCTGGGTGGCTCAGCCGGTTAAGCCTCTACCTTCCACTCCCGTCATGATCCCAAGGTCCTGGGATCCAGCCCTGCATCAGCCTCTCGGCTCAGGGCAGTCTGCTTCTCCCTCTCCCCCTGACCCTCACCCCTGCTTATGCTCCTGTTCTCTCTCAAATGAATGAATAAGTCTTAAAACAAAACAAAACTTCCAACACTTGCAGCCATCCAAGCTTGGGAGGCCTGGACGCCCTTAAAGAGCCTCTCCGGGGGACAGGTCCCACAAGACAAAGGGGTCCTGTGGTGGCGGGTGCCAGCTGGTCCTCCGGGCCTGCAAAAAATGGGTCTGTGAGCACTTTGGTGCCACAGCCCACAGGAGCTCCCCCCACCCCTGCTGTAGGTGCCACGTACACCAAGGTACGCCTAGTCCCCTGTAGCGCTCTGTGCGCCTGGCTGGCACCTCCGCTGAGGCTGTGTCTCTGGACTTGAACTCCAAGGCTGGGTGTCAGGAGCTCCGTGAAGCCCAGGGCTGCTAAGCACAGAGCAAGAGCCATCGGGAGGCTCAGAGGCCCCGGGTTAAGCTGTGCACTGCACCTGCTGGGTCTTCATTCACAGCTGAAGCACCTACGACCTACGGTGGAGGGTTTTTCCCTCCTTTAAAGATGTATTCACAAGTTACACACAATATCATTGTAAAATGGTAGCTCTTCTGTAGTTATAAGTAAAAACACTGTTCTTGCCATCCACAGGGTAGACTGGGAGGAGGGCTGGCAGTTTAACTTTTCTATGTTTTGGGAGTTCTCATTAACAAGAACTAGCAACAAGGATAGTTTTTAAAAATATGGCCGAACTTGCCAGACGACAAGTTTGTCAGGCTCGTTCAGGAATGGGAAGCAGAGAAGGGTCCTCCTTTGCAAGGCTGAAGGCCTGGCAAGTGGGAAGCTGGAAATACTTCTCTCCCGAGGAAACTCTGTTTCTAACAAATGTCTACAATGTTGCTATTCCCACAGTTCACAATGTTACTGAGATCAAAACCCTTGGGGACTTAAGGCTTATCTGTGACTCGCCTCAGTGTGTCCCCTTTTACATACTCGAGCTTTTATCTAAACACTTCAATGCCCCTCGCGATGGTCAGCCCATGACAGGTCTGATCACTGCTCCTGCCTCGGTCCCCAGTTATGCCATCTTAGGGACTACGTGCTGAGGACCCGGGCCTGGACTTCTTTGCAGTAAAGACATCACAGTATATGGTATGGTGACAGGAACTTTAAAAAACAAAAAACACAAAGCCAGCAATGTAGAGTCTGAAAAGTTTCTCATGTTAAAAACCATTTTAAATAAAGTTACTACATTTTCAGTAAAACTTAAGACGTCCTTCCTTGAAACAGAAACACTTGAAATTAAAACATGATTTTTTAAAAAATCATGAGCCCTGGGCCGAGCAGACTGGGAGCTGCCTGCTTCCTCCGCTGAAGGCTCTGGGGGCTGTTCCGAAGTCCATGATCTGTAGGTTCTGATGCCATCAAGCTTCACTGGATGAAAATGGCCCAGGAAAATTCCCATCCTGTCCCACAGGAAGCGTTTCCTTCAGTCCTCTTCCAGAGGACAGAGCCGGGGGAGGTCCGGGAAGAGAGCTGTGTGCGGAGTTCCTCCTTCTCCGACTGGAAGCAATGACTCCAGGCCGCCATCAGTCATCGTAGTAGTAATCTAACTTGGTGAACACGGTTTTGCAGCCTTTGTCAGAGAAAACTCTCTCCTCTTTGGGGAAAAACGTCATCTCGTCAGCCACTTTGGTTACAATGTCCTCGTCAATTTCAAAGCCTCGGGACTGCATTTCCACTCTGATGCACATTTTTAGATGTTTATATTCCAGGGGGAGGAAGGGAACAAAATAATCAATGAGGTTTCGGTCAATTAGGCTGCTATGCCAGAAGCCACCTGGGAAAAAGAGAAAGGCAGTGTTCGTCACTGTCCACCTCACCCCCCATCCATCCGACATACGTCCACCGGGCGTCTGTTGGGGACCAGACCCGGAGGCGGAGCCCGCTATGGAGTGAGTCCAGTGTAACCCGGGAGCTCAATGCCTCCACGGAAGCCAAGCACAGGAGCCACGGGCTCGGGCTCAGGGGCGGCCTCTTAGATGCACCTACAGATCCGAAGCAGGAGAGAGGCACACCAGCCCAGAGTGCCGGGAACACGCAGAGAGGCGGGGCGGTGCACTGGGAGCGAGGACCAACTTCCCAGGCTGGCAGAGTTTCAGAGAAAGTGCCAGGAGAGATACTTCCCCAAAAGCCCCTTACCAAGACAAACTCAGGTGTGGTTAGCGGCTCTGTTAGGAATATCAAAACACCTTTATGGCCCTTGTCCCTTCAGAAATTCTGAGCGCTTTAGATCTGCGCCCGAAGACAGAGAGCAAATACTATTTCTCATTACAAATCGTAACTGGAGCATCTGCTCTCCTTTCCCAGCAGCGCTTTGCACACAACTGGTGCTCAGTAAAGATCTCACTGCCTGGCTGGGGTGAAGTTGGCCGTGGGAGGAAACAAAATGAATGGCCGAGCAGTAACAAGGGGGGCAGCTCCTTTCCTGAAGGCCTGCTCTGCGTCGGGCAAGCCCTGGGCCCTGGGCAGACATGGATGCTGCCCTCAGGGGTTCACAACCCGACAAGGCAGTGCACAGACGATTTCAGATAGGGCCAATGGCTCTGAGCACCGAGATGGGGCGAGCGGGCAAGGACAGGCTACTTGGCCAGAGTGGGCAGACATGGCCCGGCTGAGGAGGTGACCTCTGGCAGGAACCAGCACGACAAGAAACCGACTATTGGGAGAGTGTTCTGGCGGAACAATGATCTCAGATGGGGTCTCCTGAAAAACCATCTACGAACCGCCCCCCAGCACCCCACTGAACGGCCAGCCATCTGCCCCCCATCTCTACAAGGGTGCCTCGCTCACGGTCCACACCTGTCTCCAGCTCGCACCCGGCCCCACATACTTGCAACTCTGCACTCTGTCCCCCGAAATGGCAGCGCCACCCTTCCACAGCTCAAGCGGGATCCCTGAGTCGGTGTTCTCGCATTCCCACACCAATCCTTTAGGAAATCTTGTTCTACCTTCTGTAGGTTTCTCCCTTCAAAACACATTCTCAACCCACTGTGTCTCCCGATTCTACTGGTGGCATGAGGGGCCGGGCCACCAGCATCTGTCCCCCAAGCAGCTGCACAGCTCCCACCCAGGGTCCCTGCCCCGGTTGCCTTCAGTCTATTCTCCCCCCAGCACCCAGCGTGGTCCTGTTAAAACCAAGTCTGGTCATGACACTGTTGCTCAAAACAACCCAGGGGCTCCCTCCTCCTTTGGGAGTCAAACCCAAAGCCTCCCTAGAGCCCTCCAGGTCTTCAATGACCAGCACACCCAATGCAAGCCTTGCCTCTTATTCAACCCCCTAACCTATTGTTTTTCCAGGACTGCCATAGTCCACACAGTGACCCTGGGCATACCCCCACCTCAATAACCCTGCATGTGCTGTTCCCTCTGATGGAATGCTGTTCCCTGTGGTAGCCACATGGCTCACTCCCTCAGTCCTTGGCTCAGCTCAAGTGTTACCCTCACGGTGAACCATCCCTGAGCGCGTCACTGAAAACTGCAGCCCATCCTCACTCCGGCACCCCAAACCTCCATCACGGACTTACTTTTTACCTACTGGAGAGGAAGAGATATCTCCACTTTTATATAGATACAGAAATCCATCATCTGACGCCTTTCCTCCCTTATTTATTATTATTGGGATAAGAATTTGCTTTTGTTCATTGCTATGAA